TATGGGAACTCTGTACTTTCTACTCAATTTTACTGTGAATCTAAAACTACTATATCAAAATAAAGATTTTTAAAAATAAAATGTAGATGCCTGAGCTCCCCAGACCCAAGTTTGCTTATGCAGCATTTCAGAGGGTGGGGCCCTGGCACCTGCCATTGTGAAAGGCCTCTGCACAATCTCATTCATCCCAAGGTTGAGACCCAGGGGAAATTAGCTACTTAAATTTTTTTAACAACACCAATTTTATGTTCATTGTATAAAGTACATATAAATGAAAAGAAGGAAATTAAAGCCACCTGTAATCCTACCCTCCTAAGATAAACATCCCTAGCATTTTATTGAATACCCTTCTAAATGTGTATGTGTGTGTCTGTGTGTGTGTGTGTCTGTGTGTATATTTAGACATATATGTGTAGCGTTCATGTGTATCTGACACAGCACTAGGCCAAGGGACAGAGATGAGAAAAAGAATGGTCCTGGCTATGGAGCACCCACAGTCATGTTAAATGGTGTCCGCTACTGCTTGAAGCCCAGCCTTAGTAGCCCACTCACCTGCTCTTATGTTTACCCCACAGGTATACATCATCAACGTGACCTGGTCTGACTCTACATCCCAGACCATCTACCGGAGGTACAGCAAGTTCTTTGACCTGCAGGTGAGTTGGTCTGAGCTCAAATGGTGCCCAGTTCCATCAGTGGCCCTAGTCTCTGGTGGGCTGGCCTCTCTCATGTTCTCACTCATCCGGAGAACCTCCTCAGAACTCTCAGGTCAGAGCAGAGGGACAGATGAGGGAACCTGTCCCTGGTGGTCAAGCTGGAGTTGGCTCGGTTTAGGACATTGTACACAAACACTTGGGGCTTTGCTGGCGTCCTCAGATGGTCTTAACCGTCATGCTTTGTCACCCTCCTTTGCCTGCCTGGTTGGTAGGAAACCAGTGCGGAGAGACGGGAAGATGGCTGTGGGTGCTGTATGCATGAGCAGACATGTCTATAAACATCCAGGGCGAGACACAAGCCACCACATCATTGCAGGCAAAGAAAAGCAAACATACAGAAAAGACAGAAACAGAAAATAAGCAATTTCTTGAACTACAGACACGAAGTGGGCATACCACTGTGTCTGGCTAACCGAATGAGGGCTCTTACTGCCCTGTTTGTACTTGTAGACAGTATGTGTGTCTCTCTAATACATGCAGGTGTGTTCTCATGGGGATGCTGATATGGGTCCCACAGCTCCACTGCAAACACCTCCCTTGATGCCAACTAATCTGGTTAGGCCTCTTTGGGTTACAAGTGATAGTTTTATACTCATACTGGCTTAGACAAAAAGGTGACTTGGTTGGAAGAATATACCAGAGAAGCTTATGTAGTTGACCAGATGGTGTAAAGGTGATTTGAGGCAGTGGCTCTAGGAACACCTGAAACCAGGGTTACTCTCCCTCTGCCTTCTCTCTGCTTCTCTCTGGGCACTGTCTTTAGCTTATATTACCTCAAATCCTGAAGAACCTGACTGTCAACAGCTCCCAAATTTTATATCTTGTTCCCAACAGCAGAGAGAGACTGTCTCCCACTTTGAAATTGAAAAATTCTAGGGAAGACTCTGATTGGCCCAACTTGGTCAGATGCCCTCTCTAGACCAATTAGTATGGCTGGGGGGGAGAGGGTCATGTAGCACAGACGTGGTCACTAGGGGGCCCATCGCTATATATGGGGCAGGCACCAAACAAGGCAGAATCCTTGTGAGTTGGGCGGCCACCCTTCCCATACCAGGAAAGGAAAGCCAAGAGGTTCTAGATTCTTCCTCAGGGCTATGAGCCTAGTTTAAGCCCACCCCTAGCCCTCACAACCAAGGTCCATTTCTTCCTTTGCAGGCCTGTGGTGGTGAGTCATCTTGAAAAGGCCAGGCCAGCATATTTGCCCCCAAGTACCTGATTTTATCCCATTGTTTTTATTACATAACCTATGAGGATAGCGAGCTTCCTATATTACAAATCCTCTCTTAATCCAACAATATGGGATTGAATATCCCATTGAATGTGGATTGAAAGCCACTCCTTACCCTCCTGCCTCCTTCCTCTCCCCGCCCCTCAGTTCCTGTTCGATCTCCTTGGGTCCTTCCGGCATAAACTGGTGGGATTTGCTGATACCCCATCAATGGGTGTAGTGTGCTGGACAGGAAGTGATAACTTGGTTGGGGAGAGGGAACCCTGAAAGGACTCATTGATGAGCCAGAGGGGCCTGAGAGTCAGCAGAAACTCAAATCAGAACTTTTCTTCCCCTCTTTCTGCTTTGTTCCCCCACCCCCTTCCTAGTTACAGAATCTCACAGGAAAGGAATGCTGCTGCCCCAACTTCTCCCTTGTCTGGAGGGCTCGTTTCCTGTGTGTCAGGAGAGGACAGATGGCATGGAGTGGCTTATGCGATGTGCTGGCCCTAGCCATGAACATGGCCAGGCCTGTACACTTGCATCATCGCCACCTTGCAGATGCAGCTGGGAAAGGGGTTGGGATGGTTCTTCAGAATTTAACCTTTGAGCCAAGCACAGCATCTCTGTGAACCCATTTTATAAAACTCATGGCATGATGACTTAGTGGCGTGCATTTTGGAAAGCCTTTCTTATTTATCAGGATCACTGATTTTAACATGGCAGCTCCTGTAGAGGAAGAACACGTGGCATTGTTAACTCTGTCTCTGGTCACTGGTGGCCCTCGGAACTCAGTTTTCTGAGAGGCTGTGTGAGAGAGTGGCTTAGAGCTTAGGTACTGGGGACATATTGCCTGGGACTGGCTACCGGTTCTGTCACCATATAACTCCAGACAGGGCCCATAACTTTTCTTAACTCTATTTTCTCATCTGTAGAATGAAGATTTAACTAGCACCCACCCAGTAGGGTTGTTGGAAGGATTAAATGAGTGAATCCACATTTTTCCTGACACATGGTTGTCTATAGTGAGTTACCCACTAGGTTGTCTAGTAGTGTTTGCAGGAGGCAAGGATGCTGGGCTGCAGGCGAATGGGTCTGTTGGTTTCTTGTTTCCCTCACTTGGCTTCTCTGTGCTGAGGAGCTGCTCTGTGCCCTGGCCTGTGCCACAGTGTTCAGAGTCCTGTAAGCCACAGGCTTTCTCTGGAGCACGCCACTGGGGCAGGACTGGAGTGTGTTGGGAGTCGGGGTGTGTCCCACAGGTAGCTGTCCTCAGAATTGTTTTGCTCCTCCCATTTTTGGCAGAGCCCCAACTTAGAGCCCTGCAAGTCCTGGGCTTACTGAGCCAGCCTAGGGGAGGCTCCTAAGCTGGCTTTAGCAACTCATGGTTCTGGGCCTCCTGGGGACCACAGATCCCTTTGTGAATCTGCTGGATCTCTCTAGAAAAAGAGCATGTATGTACAGTTTTACTTACAGTGTCAGGGGTTCACGGATCCCCCCATAGGTCCCCAGTGAAGAACCGCTGAGCTAAACCAGCTCAGATCATTAATCACACAGTCACATCTTGTACTACTTGGGGGCACCATTTGGGGGTTTATATACAGTATTCAGATAGTAGCAGTGGACCTGGATACCCCTTTGAGGGACCTGTAGGTCCCCTCTCTCCCACAAGTTGGTTTCCCTGTCCCTAGCATAGGTCTTCCGACACCTGTCTCTCCTATTTCTCCCTCTTCAAACAATATCTTTTGCTCCTGGTGTGGGTCAGGGTACCACGAGGAAGCCCTGGGCTCCCAGCTCTTTAATGTAACCCGGGAGTCATGTGCAGAGTGATGCCAAGTGGCCCTGACCTCCCCTGGCACCGGGCCGAAGGCCGTGGGGTGTGTGCAGATCCAATTCTACCCGGAATAGCACAGGCACCTCGAGTGTCCTTTCCCCTCTGTGGGGGAGACCTGGAGATGGCCAGCCATGCTCAGCATAGGCTGGGGACACGGAGTCGAGGAGGACAAGGTCCCTTCCTTTAGGAGTCCATATTTTGTGGGGAAAGTAGACCTTAAGCAATTGAGTCCACTGTAGATTAAATAAATACTGGATTGAGATATAAGCCACATGCTCTGGGCTCAGGAGGAAGGAAAGAGCATTCTTCTTGGGTGGGAGAACAAAGAAGGTGCCCATATGGTTTTGATTGGTGACAGCAGCCTGGAGTGATACAGCCACACACCTCCATCCAGTTTGGGGGGAATTTGGTTGTTTTTTGAGAATTATAGTTAGCAGGGTAGAGTATGTTCCTAATTTATTTCTTCGTTTGTTCATTCATTTATGCCTGCTTGCCTGCTTCCTTCTGTCCATCCATTCATTCGTCTACCTTCAATCTGTCCGATCTTAAGAGCCTGCCTTCTCTGTCCCAGGCAGCATGCCAGGCTTTGGAGATTTATTGATGAGCAAAAGCAGATCTGGTTACTGCTTTTATGGGACTTATAGCTTAGTGAGGGAAGACAGATTTTAGTTAAAATATATATATTCTTTTATACTATTCCAAATGCTACAAAGAAAGGTACCATAGACATATTATAGGGAAACCTTATCCTCTGGGATCAGGGCGGGCTTCCCTGAAGAAGTAAGTTTTATCTGACAGATTAATAAATTATTTTGTCTTACTTTATTTGGGGGATCAGGGATGCTTTTACGCTTTTAATGAAAGCAAAACTTTCTCCCCAAACACATGAGTGTACATATGCAATACTAATAGCCTTTTTGGTCATTCACCACCCCTTGAAATTTCTGATCGGATAAGGCCCTCTACTTGGCCCCAAACCTTTTTCTTCCCCCATACCGTCTGTCTTCAGCCTTCAGAGCCAGTTATTCTGCCTCCCCCCACACACAAGGGGCTGCTCACTGAACCCAGCCCCTCTTCCCTCCCACTGGGAGGTTCTGGGGATGGGGGCTTTAGCCCTATGTCTCCGAGGCAGTAGCCACTTAGCTACATGCAGCTAGTTGAGTTTAAATTTAAATTAATTAAAAATCTTAAAGATTAAATTTTAAAAATTAAGTTCAATCCATTTACATTAAATTAAATTTAGTTTCTTGGTCATACCTGCTACATTGCAAGTTCTCAGTAGCCAAAGTGACTGGTGACTAGGTATTGAACACACACAGAACATTTGTGTCATCCCAGAAAGTTGTAGAGGACTGTGCTGCTTTAGACCATCTGGGACACACGCAAGCTTGATCCGGCCTTATGTTCACCCAGAGCACTCTGCCACCTCCTAGTCCCTCCCCAGTTGCCCTCTAAAATTTTCTAGGGCCCCAGCAGGAAGAGGGAGACTAAGTTCCATCATGATTTGCCCCATCAATAGAGCAATTCAAATTCAACAGTGTTCCAAACACCTCTTTTGGAAACCAGACCAGTTACTAGAGAGGGCTTCTAAGGGCATTTTAGATGTCAAGTTGGGGACAGGGAGAGCAGAGGCTCTTGGTCTTCAAGTGGAAATTGGTTTCTTCTAAAAACAATCCACCACTCAGCCCTATCCGACCAGGAAAGAGACCTGTCCCAGAGGGAGCTGGCCAGGACAAGACCTGATGTTGAGGCGTATTTGGTTATCAAGGGCTTAGATTACTTGGAGTAGCAGTTAATGGAGAAGGAGGACTGTGAAGGGCCACAGATGCTCTTAAGTTGCCTTCTCACTGGCAGCTGGACCACATTTCCAGCCTCTCTAAATTTTCTTGCACAGCTCCTTCA